AAGTAAAGTTTCTCATCTGCCTTTGGAGTATGAAGCAGTGGTGGGCTCGATAGGTATCGCTTTAATTCCTCTAATGCTTGTTGGCATTCCGGGGTCCAGGTGAAATCGTTCTTCTTTTTGAGTAGAGAAAAAAATATGTGGCTTCGATCCGACGACCTCGAGATAAATTAGCCTAAAGCAGCTATCCGTCCAGTCAGCCTCTGCACGGCTTTTACATTTTCCACGGCGGTGATATCCTCGATGGCCTTGATTTTATCAAGGTTGATTTCGATCCCCCGATTCGACACCATGAGGCCCAGGAATTTGCCCGAACCGACCCCGAAAGCACATTTCTCGGGGTTGAGCTTCATGTTATATTTCCTCAAAATCTCGAACGTTTGCTGCAAATGAGCCAAATGGTCCTCTGCGCGCAAGGACTTAACTAGCATGTCATCGATATAAACTTCCATTGACTTACCTATTTGTCCTTCGAACATTTTATTTACTAGGCGTTGGTAAGTAGCTCCTGCATTTTTTAGCCCGAAGGAAATTACATTATATCAATATGTTCCATACTTGGTGATAAATGAAGTCTTTTTCTGGTCTTCCGAGTTCATTTGAATTTGATTGTACCCGGAATAGGCATCAAGAAAGGTAAGGTTCTCATGGCTAGCCGTGGCGTCGATCATTCGATCGATGTTAGGCAGTTGAAAAGAATCTTTGGGGCATGCCTTATTTAAATCTTTATAATCTACACACATTCTAAGTTTGCTCCCTTTCTTAGGGACTACTACTACATTGGCTAACCATTCGGGATATTTCACCTCCCGAATGGACCCTATTTTGAGAAGTTTAGTTACCTCGTCCTTTACGAATGCGTGCTTTACCTCGGACTGGGGTTTCCTCTTTTGCTTCACCGGTTTGAACCTAGGGTCAAGGCTTAGCTGATGCGTCGTTATCTCCGGTGGGATCCTTGTTATGTCTAAATGGGACCAAGCGAAACAGTCTATGTTATCAATAAGAAATTGAATAAGCTTTTTCCTGAGTTCTGGGGTTAATCTCGTTCCCAGGTATACCTTTTGCTAGGGCAGGTACTCGATCAATATAACATGTTCCAGCTCTTCGACCGTTGATTTGGTGGCGTTAGAATCTTCGAGAACAATAAAAGTTCGAGGGGTTAGAAAATCCTCTTCTTCTTCTTCTTCTTCTTCTGTCTCCTGCTTCCCCGATTCGGTCGAGACTGGTGGCTGTGATTGCTATTTGGCTTCGAGTTTACCTTTGATGCTCGACCTTTCCGAGGTTGATAATGTTGATATCGGCGTAACCGCATTGACCGCAAATATTTCCTTTGCAGCATGCTGCTCCCCGTATACTGTTTTTACACCGTCCGACGTCGGGAATTTCACCATTTGGTGGAGGGTCCAAGGGACTGCCCTCATATTGTGGATCCAAGGCCTTCCGAGTAGGGCATTGTATCTTATGTCGCCCTCGATCACGTGGAATTTGGTATCTTGAATGGTCCCAGCCACGTTCACCGGTAAAATAATCTCCCCTTTAGTTGTTTCACTGGCCATATTGAAGCCGTTTAAGACTCGAGTTACGGGCACGATTTGATCTTGTAGGTCGAGCTGCTCCATGTTGCTCCCAAACGCACACGCAAGTATACGTGGTCGACAAGTAATATAGGATTGTAAGTCCAGATATCGTATCCACAGGGACTTGTGATTAACTATCAACTAAATTAAACCAAACAATTAATCTATTCAAGCGAATCCTAACGTATGAATATTTAACTAAAGTTAATCTAAAGTAACAAATTAAGAGATTAAAGAAAACAACGACAAACTTAAAGCCGAATTCAATGTGAGTGAATATTCTAGAGCTATGGGTTATCTAACAATCCCGTTGAGTTTTCCACTTAAATCATCTAATTAATTTATCTGGTTTATAGGTTGACAGGGTTAATATTGCTCGTAGCCTTCTCCCGAAGTACAACTCGCCTATTCAAGCTAAACTAACGCCTATATTCCCATGGAATTAGGATTAACAAGAACGCATTTATAATTCCCGTATAATAACCAAGCAAGGCGATTAGGTATATTCCTATCCTAACTGCAAATTCGCTCCCCCTAAGAGTTAAGATCTTGCTCTACTCAATCTTATATGCAATCTAGAATTCCCTCTCCCAAGTTCAATCCTAGATTCGTAGATAGTATTCAATTTATGATCAAGCAATCAAATAATTAAGCGCAAGATTGAATAAATAAACCAATATGATAAAATAATAAGAACAATTCAAGCTTCAAACTACAACGTTCATGTAGCACCCAAAACTCTAGAACTAATAAACTATGAAATTAAAGGAAGAGAAGAGAAGAAAAACTAGTTGAAAGCCTCCTCCAAACGTGGTGTGTGTTCCCCCACGTGAATTCTCCTCCAAAGTATGTTAGCTATCCTCAAAAGTGGCGTCCTCCCCTTCAAAAATAGGTTTAGTCTTGCTTCTATACGTATTGGGTAGGTCTAGGGCCGAAATAACCTTGTCTCGGGCAAAGTTGGACAAAATTCCCGTCACTCCAGGGTGCTGCAATATTTTTAGCTACTGTTTTTGGCGCCACAGGTAGGGCTGGGCGTCACATGTGGCGCCCAAATTCGCAATTTCCCGGTTTCTTTCGTTTTGGCTCAAATCTTGCGCGTTTCGCCCCCAATTGATCCTGAATCATTCCTACACATAAAAACACTTCAAATTAATATAAATCATAGCAGTTAACATCCCAAATTCACGAAACAAAAGTAAAATATGAGGCGATATACATAAAAATATATATGTTTTAAGCTAAACATCACTCCACGACCCTCGATCGGATGATATTCGCCGAGCTACCTGGATCTACAAAAACACACTTAACTTGAACTTTATTTAATAAGATAGAAATTACCAGAGCATCGTTGTGTGGCTGATAGATGCCTTCTACTTCTTCGTCGTTGAATGATAAGGAGCCTTCGGGCTCATATTCTCGGGTTCGTGTTTCCTTAGTGATTGATACCTTAGTGCGTTTGAATATGGGTCCCTATGGAATGTCGACCCCACCGACGATCATATGAAAGACATGCCGGGGTTCCTCCTGTTCATTTTTCCTGTTGGCGTCCCTTTCTCTGAAATGATTCTTGGCTCGATCGCTGAGGAACTCTCGAAGTGGCCCTCGTTGAATAGACGGGACACCTCCTCCCTTAATTGCCTGCAATGCTCGGTCTTGTACCATGCGTGCCATGATACTTCCACATCAAATTTGGTTTCTTTGAGAAGGATCGGTCTGTATGGGTCTGGGCCACCTAGTACCTTTGATCCTTCCGATTGTCGATACAATGCCCGCACGTTGATGTTAAAGTTATATTCCGATAACCAAGGTGCCTCTGTGGGATCGGCATGCTTATCGAAACCACTTTTGCTCATAAGTCCCCGAGAATTCTGTCCTCGATCATTCCGAGCGGAATTGCATCCTGAACCATTGTTCCTTCGATCTGCGTTATATGGTTGATATCGTTCTCTGTTAGACCTTGGCTCCCTGTCGACATCCCTCTAGGTTTTAACTGTCGACCTGTTTAGATGTACTGAACCGGAAGGGGTTCCTAATTGGTCGTCCTCGACGTGATGCTGTCGAACTCCGTTCGTTCAACCCTTGAATGAAAGCTTGAACGGCCCAATCATCTGTGACCGGTGGCAACTCCATGCGTTCCATTTGAAATTGGGATACGAACTCCCTCAGCATTTCGTTATCCCTTTGTCTTATTTAGAAAAGGTCCGATTTTCTTGTTGCCACCTTTATGGACCCGACGTGTGCCTTTATGAAAGAATCTGCTAACATGGCAAATGAGTCGATGGAATTTGGTGGCAGGTTGTGATACCGAATCATTTCTCCCTTCGAAAGGGTTTCTCCGAACTTTTTCAATAGCACAGATTCGATTTCATCATCTTCTAAGTCATTTCCCTTTAGTCTACACATGTACGAAGTGATATGTTCATTAGGATCGGTGGTCCCATTGTACTTAGGTATGTGCGGCATACGGAACTTCTTAGGAATGGGCTTCGAAGCCCCACTTTGAGGAAAAGGCTTTTGCACGAACTTTTTCGAATCCAAACCCTTTAGGATCGGGGGTGCCCGCGGTATCTGATCAACTCGGGAGTTGTATGTTTCCATTTTTTTATCATTAGCTTCGATTTTCTTCTCCTGACTCAATTATTTTGGTGAGCTCCTCGAGCATTTTTATTATTGCAGGATTAGTCCCTGATTCGTTACCATTCGACCTTTCTGGCACTAGCTCGGTACGGCGAGTGATTTCTGGCTCGACCCCACTTGGACTCCCATGTTGATTTTGCAACTGAGCAATAGCGGCCTGTTGAGCCTGTAGCATCTCGAATATCACCTGGAGACTAACTCATCCGTCTCCTCTGCCCTGTGTACCTTGACCACCAGATCGGCATTCCCTACGTACACTCCCTTCGGGGTCCGCGCCTAGGTCCGTATTTAGAGCAACTGCAAACTGACATCGACTGGATCGGCGACCGGTGCTCCCCCGAGATTAGCCGGTGGCACCCCGGCTCCAAGAGCAATTACATTGTCGTTTTCCCCGTGAAACCCGAGACCATCATCACCATGTGTGGGTGCGTTTTGTGAGTTTGACATGTTTTAACCTAAGAGCAAAAATACTTGACAAGAAAAAGCGTGAAATAGTGTGTGTTATCAGAATCGGCACCGAACAATCACTATTATCCGTAGCCCCATGTTGGGCGCCAAATTGTTTAATCTAAAACTCCAGTAACAATTAAACTTATATTGTGGTTTTAAGGATATGTGATTCAATCAAATACCAATTGATAAACGAGGAATTAAATAGATAAATTAGAGAATAAAATAAATCAAACCAGTATGCTAACCAAATTTCGACATCGACTTGTGAAAGCCTCAAGGTGTGATAATAAGAATAACAAATGATAAAGCAACTCTGATGAACAGTAAGCGAAATAGCAAGAAATTAATGAGTGTATATATTCTTATCAGTGAACAATGATGCTTACAAATGAATGGGATCCCTATTTATATAATAGAGGAGTTCTAAATAAGGTACAATTCTAACTATAGTAGAAAATTATATTTGACAACTGATTAACCGCCGAAGATCAATCCATTCCGAAATTCACCCCACGATCCTCGATCCGTTGCGGATATCTCGCTCTTTCCGTTACTGAACTATACCGACATCATTTCGAAGTATGCCCTCTTCTGACCTCGATTGGTGATGTCGACCTCGATCTTGGAAAGAAACTCCGATTCCGGACTCGACGTCCTGGCCTTTCGACGTGGTATCTCTTTTTTGATTAAATGATGAAATCGGGTAGCCCCAATTTTCACCGTATACACTTCTGTAATACTTACTTGTCAGAAAGTTGATGATAACCTTTTCAATGACAGCGATTTTCACTTAATCACAACTCATCATTGGTTGTTTTCTGTTATAACAATCATTAAATCATGTTGTCCAACTGCTAGTGTTCATAGCTCGAAAAGTCATACCAGGTAAGGAAAACAAAGCAAAAGAAGCTTCAAACCTTTTTCATTCCTGCAAAATTCATCAAATTGGAAATGAATTCAAATACGATGGAAGAACGTAAGCACAATAAGAGTTAAAGCGAAACCGAAGCAGCGGAGTTCCCATGGTCAACGTTTTATCTCCTACTTCTTCCGGCCAAAAAAGGTAAGTAAAAAGAACGGAGAAGAAGACTTAAATAATTTTAGACATATGGGCCTTGAGTTGCACGAAATTTTAATTAATTCGTTTCATTACAATTACGTCATCAATATTATTTAACTCTTAACAAATTTCTTACTCCAATACCACTAATATGCATAATACATATCTCATCAAGATCAACACTTCGCTTACAAACCCTGAACTAGTGTATTGCTTTACTTTTTTACGCAAAAGCAACATTAAAATTTTTGCTCCATAACTAAAAAAATACCCTTTCTACAACATGAAAAAAGTACTCATTTTAATGACTTGAAAGAAAATATTTTTTCTACATCAAAGAAAATACATTTTACTACATCATTCTGTTGACATAAAAAAAATACTTTTTCTACATAAACAAAAAGTAATTTTTTTTGTTAAAATGAAAAATCTCTTTTTTTATATAATGAAAAGAAAATACTCATTTGTTGAAACGAAAAAAAATACTCTATCTACAACATGAAAGAATGTACCACTCCTATTTAAGGTGTGGGGCGGGGTGAGGGGTGGGGGTGGGGAAGGGTTGGTAGGTGGGTGGGGGTGAGAGTAAGTAGGGTGTGTAGGTAGGGTTGGTAGGAACGGAGAATAAGGTGGAAAAGGCTGAGAAAAAGTTTTGGAAATTATTTTACCTTCTCTTGATTTTCCTCTAATTGGAGAAAAATGAATTCATTAAAAAAATATTTTTCAAAACATTTAAGCCAACCAAACATGAAAAAATTAAAAAATATTTTCCAAAAAAGGTAAAGATCCAGCTTCTGCAGTCCTCAAGAAGGTCAATGCTGAAAACTGAATGTTATACGGAAATGCGAAACACGTATAGTCACTCTCAAAATAATAATCTAAAAAAAATATTTCACATACATATCTACATATTATATACAAAAATTATATAAATCTTATACACTTATTCGACTAACGGATATAAAAAGTTTTAACCGCAAGCTAAAAGTGATCTTTGCCAAATCTTATACGTTGTTTTTGATGTTAGCTCAAAGTAAGAGAAATTCAAATGTTGTCAAGTAAAAAAAGTTTACTTCACAACTTTATTAACCTCAAATGTTGTCAAGGTTAAGAAGACCTAGAGGTGAGCTTCCAATGATCGACTGTAAATTATTTGAGCATGTTATATCCAATTTACTCTTCGTGTAGTTTGATCTAAAAATTCACTAAAATTTTATTCCGACAGAGCATTAATAACCCAGAATCAGAAATAATAACACAAAGGTTAAAACAGATATACATTGCAACAGCCTCTTAAACGATACAGATATTGGATAAAGCACTGTGGCTCACGCCTACATGTTACTAGGATAATACTTATTGGTCTTCTGTGCTTTCCGTTTTTCTTTTCTTTTTGAGTAAGAAATGCAGACTAGGACAACATCACAAAATAGCAGCTACCTAGATTAGAAATGCTTTCACAAAAATATTTGGATATATTATGCAGCATTTTACAATCATAATCATTATAAGGTAAAATACCCATAATTTCTTTGCTTTAGCTTAGAACACAAGAGAGGTAGAAAACGTCCATACCACCTTGTCTCTATGAACGCATGGCTCCCTGTTACAAGGGCCGTTATTCCACGTCCATTCCGGGGAGCATGTTAATCTGGGTCCAAGCAGCCATCTTGATTGTTCACCTCCGCTCCAACACTTCACATGTATTATTATTATAAATTTAAAAAAAAAAAAACATACAGCAAGCAAATTTCCTACAATTTCGGTTTTTTGGGCCTTTATTTCACGTAACCCAAAAACTTTCTTAAGTAGGTCAAGACAGATCAATTAGCAATTTGCTTTCCCTCTACCTTCTCCCTCAACGTTTCTCCTTTCTCAACTCTCTTGTGGCATTCCCTTCATCCTTACCAGAACTCAAGCACAGATCATATGTTAAACGTTAAGCACTAAACAGCAGTGAGAGTGAATCAGATCACTTCAAAATTTAACAAACATAACCCAAAAGTTACCATGGTCTCAATGAATAACATCCTAAAGTGATTGATTATATGATAATCATGAATACTACAGATGCAAACTCCCGGATACAACATCACTGTTTAGACATGTACGCTAGTCAACGTCCATAAGCAGTTGCAGTTAATGAAGCTCAGATGTGTAAGATTAATATCCATAACACAAAATCACTGCTAAAAGGTCCCAAAAAGGAAAACCTCACTAAAGCAGATTGCCCAACGTCAATTGGTCAATCAACAACATAGAAGTGCAATGATTTGCCAGGTGGAAAAGACAAAATATTCTGGATATCCTATTTATATAATATTTCAAATTATTTACAGAATTACCTTTTTTCTCCAAAATTTTAACTCCATTCGATGATATACATGAAAATTTTACATAAACTGTACTTTCTTGGTCAAACTATCAACTCTTCTTACTTTATAGAAGCTACCAGTGTCATATGAACTGCAAATGCTCTTTCACAAAAATGATCGCCATTTTGTGGTGAAAGGACAAAAAGGGAAGCAGTATCACTGCTACAGTTCAGGGATCTGATTACACAATTACCTCATAATTTTGCAGCAGAAAAATCTGCCAGGATCAATCAGACCTTATTTGAGTACCGCTGACCAATAAAGAGCTACAATGTTGCATTCTGACTAGCTACCTTCTGTAAATACCTGAAACAATTGACATTTGCTAACAAAATCACTCTCAAATTATAGATGATCTCCGGCATTTAAACACAATAAGAGATATATTTCTAGCGTTGCAAAAACCCCAAGAGGGAAAAAAGGAAAATTGGAATAAGAATCACTCAAGTCAGGAAACCAATTTAAGGAAAAGAACTTTTAGATCTTCCTTAGGAAGCATACACAAGTCACTTTTACAAAGAACAAATAAATCGTTATAACTAGTTACTCTAATAGCATTCCCTTTAAGGGAGTTTCATTAAATTTAATTAGTCTATTATTAAAATGAAGTTGCCTCTTCGAAAGACTCCAAAGGAACAAGTCATGTACAACCCTGGTAACAATAGTAGCAGTTACAAGGACACATTTACTCGCAAATACATAATGTTCTTTAAGCTAGGCAGAGTAACATAGTTGAGTAATTGCTGAAATACAATTGTACAGAAGTAGCACACATGACTTCTGTCAACACTTCCTCTCCAAGGGATTATCAAACACATTCCAGTATAGAGGGCTTATAATGTTATGCCTTGAAAACAGTTCTTTTTTGGGTGATAAACAATGTTTCTCAAGGAAATTATGTAGCCAAGAGAGAGATCAGTGAAAAAAACTCAAAACCTATCAAACATTTCACATCAACACGCTGTTTGATAGTATCATCTCAACGAGCAATAAAGGAGGATGGGGAGATAGAGGTGATAGAATCTATTTCCAAAATTTTGAACACATTACACCTCCCATCCACGGGCCATTATTGAATAGCTGTTTACAAATGCATCAATCAATAGACAGGAATCTTCGGCCCTAGCTAACTACCAGGAATAAGATACAATGTGATCAAACATAAGATCTATAGGCATAGGACGATTTCAATATGAGCTCCAATTTGATATTCGGAAAAGGGTCATATTTGCCACTGTGGTATTAAATATTAGTTATATATACCTTCCGTTATAACCAAATACTCAATCAGATGTGAATGAATGAAGAGATTTGTGCCTTTCTATTGTCGAAGTCTAATGCAAAATGGTCTCTAAAAGGTAACAAAATTAAGCATTACTTTTCATTCTTTTCAGTTGTTCTCCATGTTTCAGGCAAGTTCAAGTTACACATCTAACAGAAGAGAACTAATTCTCTTAGAAAAAGAGCAATACTTGTCAAAGTACAAAATAAGATGATATTAGATGCCATCCCTCTCAGGCTAAACTTCATTCAATTTTGAGAACAGGGGCAAAGATTTCATCTTCAACATGCTTAGAGCATTCTCCATTCTAGTTTGGATTTTCCTCAGACAAGGATCCCATTATTGCTAACCCTCCTCTCTAAGAAGCAAAAAACAGCTATAGTCATCCTTTCTTTCTCTTAAGAGTGTCGTCTTTTGCTAAGTTGCTCGGATACAGGTGCGGGTGTCCGACACGGGTGCGGATCTAGAGGTCGGATCCTTCGAGATGTAAATTCTAAGATTCGGAGATATGGATGCTAGTACGGCTACGGGGATCCGACTAAAAATAATTCAAAAATATAAAAATATCTCTAAAATGAGAATTTTTGTGGCATAATTACGTATAGCTTGTAAAGTGTAGATTTTTTTTTATTCTCAAGTTGATGATAAGTAAAGGATTGATTTCCTAGATAAGATATGATGTTTTCTTCAAATTTACCCTAGTTTTGGTTCTGATTTCTGGAATCAAATTGTATCTCGTCTCGAATTTTTCAGTCCATCGTGGTCAAAGTCACCAAAATCATTTAACCATATCCGGTACGGATCCCATACCCACACCCATACTAGTGTCGTGTCAACACGGGTGTGGCACATAAACTGCCGTGGTGGAGCAACTTAGGTCTTTTAGCCTTTCCAACATATCCGAGAGGGGAAAGGGGTCTCTTGGTTTTTCTTTTTGGGTCTTTTTGATGGATTTTTGGTTCCAGAAAGATGGGTTATTTCTAAGGGTATGGGTTGGCTAATCACCCGGATTAACAGATGACCTCCATGTATTATTTGGAAGGCAGGTCCAAGTTTTCCATTAGTGGTAGGGGTATTTGTGTTCAAAAGTGTAATGGCGAGGGTAATTAATGTCGAAGAGTATAACAAAGGGTATATATAACTAACATTAAATAGTACAAGGGTAAATATGACCCTTTTTGTTTAACATTTATATAGAACCTAGGTTCTCAAGCTGAAAGCATGCAATCCCACAAAACACCGTAATAATCATTTTGTAACACTAAAAACATATCACACATCATTTGATACCCAACATGACACGGACATACACACTGAGATAGCCTTTATTATGTTATACATCACAAACCCAAATCTTACCGAGACAATACAATATACCTTATGTCATGATTTTACCATGCAATACTAACAAATTTCCACCCCAATAATAAAAGCGAGTGAATCATTGGGCCTATCTCACATAGCGAGCCATACAAGGGTGAAGTTCAATTCGGGCATAGCCTAAAGCAACTTCAAACTCCACATGAAAAATATTTCAAAGAGTGTCTTCTAAGTGTTAGGATGCTGAGAAAAGTACAGCAACGAGAAGTTGTGACAGATTAAACTAAATCAGCAAAGTTACTAGACCAGCCCATTATTCTATACATTCTAAGACATATCATTTTTTGAACTGAACGAACACGTCAAGAAGTTCATCGTTTCCTACTAAAGCAAATTTTGTCTCATGCCCCAATAGACCCATGCACACCACAACTTTAAACAAGAGCAGAACAAAAGCTTAAGGCACCTATGAGATTAAAAAAAATGGCTTACGATGCCTACTGAATCACACAAGTAGGTCTTTCATTAGCCAGGACCAGCAATTTGTTGCTTGAAGCAACAACTAATTTCATGCACTCTGCAAACAATAATAGATACTTCTTTCTATACCAAATCTTTTAAGGACTTTTCTACCAAATCTTACCCATGAAAATAAACATACACCGCAAAAATGCATGCTCAAGCAGCACATTAAAATTTTGATGTGTTTCCAATAGCTGTGCTGCATCAGCTTACACAAGCAAGGGCATGGCTGACATGCTCCCTCAGTGACACTAACTTGTACTTTTCCACAGAGCACATGTAGATATTAGAGAAACTTAACAAACTCTTTTGCCAACTGAATATCAAATGGTACTTTTCCATCTAGCTTCACACACATCTTCCTTCATATACACTTGAATATAAATGCTAAAAAGCGCATCTCTTTCAGAGTTCCCACACCAAAATGTTGTTATTTCACTTAGAGGTCGTTTGGTTGAAGGGATTAGGAAAAACAGTCCCGGCATAAAATCTCACATAAAATAATACAATATTTGGTTGGATGGATTAAGAAAATAATCTCTGCATAACTAATGCAACGTTTGGTTGGCGTATAAGAAAAAAAAAAAACCTACACAACTAATGCAACGTTTGAGTGGTGGTAATAAATAATACTCCCTCTGTCCCAATTTACGCGTGACTCGTTTTTTGGTTAGCCCTAAAAGAATGATACATTTCTATATTTAGTAACAATTTAACTTTAAAATCTCCACTTTATCTATAATGAGATGATTTATACCCACACAAATATCTATAGCTCATTTTAGACAACAAGTTTCAAAAATCTTCCTTCCTATCTTAAACTCGGTGCCTAGTAAAACACAGTCACACAAATTGGGACAAAAGGAGTACACGCACAAGTTTTGAGAATCTAGGTATTATTTTATCCGAAGTATAATGTGAAATAAAATTACGTGTATCAGCAATGCAACAGCTTTTGCTTCAGCAGTGCAGGACCTATTTACTAGCTATCGGTTTTGCTTTGCATCTTTCTTCTGGATTTCATGTTGTTACTATTTTTCCTATGATTTCTGTGGTGATATTAATATTGTCTCCTTTTTTCTTTTTGTTTTCTTGAACCGAGGGTCTTTCGGAAACAGCATCTCTACTCCTTTGGGGTAGAGGTAAGGTCTGCGTACACACTACCCTCCCAGACCCCACTAGTGGGATTTTACTGGGTTGTTGTTGTTGTATCAGCAATGCAACAATGCAGAGACAAAAGTATTGAAAGACAAAAATACTTAACAAGAAAAACAATAAAAAAGGTATTGAAAGACAAAAATGCTCTTAAAATAGATAATCTTTAATTATTCACTGCATAACAATCCCTACAATATTATTCACAGTATAACAAACATATCCCTGCGTAATTATACTAGCATAACTAAGAGGTGAACCAACACCTTAAGAGTTGTTGGGATTTCATTGAAATTCCATGTTTCAATCAAAAATGGAAGATGTGATTTCGGGGGCTGTAGTCCAGGTTTGGTTCTTACCATCCCCATAAGCCTGAAAGAACCCAATCTTACTTCCATTCTTGTGAGTCTCAATCCACACCACGCTCCATACCCAATTTCAAAATAAAATACTTAATTTCAGAATTATCAAAGTTTGTAATATACTACTCCCTCCGTTTCAATTTATGTGAACCCATTTGACTGGGTACAGAGCTTAAGAAAAGAGAGAAGACTTTTGAACTTGTGGGGTAAAATGAGGCACATGTATTTTGTGTGACTATAAATCATTGCATAAAGGTAAATTGTTTCCAAATAGGTTCACATAAATTGAAACGGAGGAAGTATTTTTTATTGATGCCTAATTTACTCTGTAATGACCTAACCAATTACTCTAATCATTACCCGGTTCAAACAAGTCAAAACACGTTAATAGTATTTATTTTTAAATGGAACAAATAATACTCTTACACAAAAGGCCATCGGTATTTTGTTAGGCGACATAATCTTGGAGTTACACTAATGAGATATTTTGACGTATCAAAAAAATAAAAAGCTGGAGGCATAATTGTCGCAGGTTATTCACCATATACTGGAGAAAAGAGGTCCGACCCTGTCCTTGTTCCTGTATAACAACAGTTCCTAATCAAATCACATTTCTACGCCAGTTGCATTAGAACCCCATCCCTAATCCTATGGCATGAGAAGTATTCCTACTACAACCTGCAATCAAAAACCCTCGTAATTCCAGTAAAATGAAGGCTAGAGATGTCTCTGCTTAGGTCCTCCACTTCCAAATAATTGCTAACAGTAAAGCCTGAACCTAAACAACCAAGAAGCTGCAATCTCAATTAGACTAAATCACAAACTTGCAAGAATCAGAACCAAATAAGTACCAATTTAGCAAACATATCCATTTTCCTCCGAGTTTGGGCTTGAGGTAAAGTTGATTGATAACAATTCTCCTCGAAAATCTAGGCTGCATATAAAAGATATGGGGTCTCTCGAGAGAAACTCCTGCTTCTCTCTAGAATCTAGGAAAAGAGAAAATATAACATTCACAGGTGCTTTGGCTTGGCCGGCTCTTGAAATTGAAGCCAACAGTAGGAAATTGGATGCATGCAAAGAACCACATTTCGACTTTCAGCCACACACATACAAAGAAGGAAGAAATTCTTTGGTACTTGTCAGGTTGGGAGCTTTGTAAAGTGTGTCGGCTCTCCAAAAGCAGTCAGAAATCGGACGGCAGAAGATCTGGGTCGAAGGTGATACCACATTTCTTTTCAGACTTTAAAAGTTAACAACAAGCTACTCGGGTTCTGAATGAAGGTCCAGAGAGGGGGGAGGGGGGGGGGACATAGTTTTTTTTTTTTTTTATGTTGTGCATAGTTTGGCAAAAATTAGGACACTCTTGCAAAAGCACTAATAAAGACTCCTAGTCATATTTGCCGGTTTCCCATACTAGCCACGAGATGTCAAACTACGATAATCATCCTAGAATGATTACACTTTTCTGGTAAACCTTCCTGGCTTTTGTACTTACCACAAAGATAGGATTGACAAAATCTACCTGAAAACCAAGAGTAGAACAATATAATCACCCCTAAACCACTAATATCACATCTGTTAACCATCAAAATTCACAGGATACCCAAATAGAAGATGCTTTCTTGTGGAAGGATAATGTAATTGTCAGCAAATGTGTGCCACTAGCAACAAATTAATGCTAAACCAATCAAAAACTGTTATCTACTTGTATGTGGATGAATCTATAGAAGTAGGTAAAGTATTTTGATAAGAACGATCTTTATGCAGCATCTTCTTTGTGAATCCTGGAAGAAAAGTATTTGAAAGAATAGAACCCACATTCTTGAAGGCTCTAATAGGGGTTTCCAGAGCAAGAACAAGATGGTTTTGGGGATCCCGCTTCAACCAGAGAAAAGTGGCAAATCTCATACTTATTATAAACCAGGCTCTCTCTCTAAGCGACATGCAGAGAAAACATATCCAAGTATGCTAATGTGTTCTGACTAAGCGGAACTGGGAGCCAACAGAACAAGAGGCACAATCATTCTCTGAAACATTTGTATGTGCGATTATAGGAGCTTAGTCACTCAAACTGTCTTTTAAATCCTGTGCTGAGACCACCTTTTCTTGATGCCATTTCTACTCATCCTACTCTAATTTAACTGCTACAAAGCAAAGCGTTGAGGCATCGGTTTGATTTGAGCTTCTAAGACCAGAATTCTTTCTAGACTAGACTGCACCACAGTAACTTAATTGGACTTGAAATGCTTTCTCTTAATTTCAATGTTCGTAATTACATGATTTAATTCCATTGGTTCGCCCAGAATGTTCTAAGTATTAATAGTGCTACCAGATCCATACTTCACAATAGGTCGGAATGGAGCCTGTAATTTTTGACATTCCATCAACTATGCATTAAAATTAAGAACAGTTAGGTACTTTGCAATTTCTGTCACATCCAGCAGGTTTAAGAACAAGACCAGCCAAAACTATGAATGATTTGAATGCCAAATAACATCAGTTTCAAGGCAATGCCAAATGGAGGAGCTGTTTCAATAGATGTACGAAATAAAATGCTGAAATGCCGACAACACAGCTAGTAATATCAAAGGATTTCCAATGGCCAGGTAGGCCTTTTCAGATTCTTCAAAGATTACGATCGTAAGAACTAACCATCTGAACAGCTTATTTTAATACTTACTATGGTGGTAACTGCAGCTTCTGAGAATCAGATTACGCGATTAATCAGATAATACACTAACCATTCAGAAGGTTCAATTCTAAAAGTCAGTACGGTGGTAGCTGCAGCTTCAGAGAATTAGATTACAGAGACTTATCATCACCGTAATCTGATGTGTAACGAAATTTAATTACACATGCTTCCATTTTTGTCCCAAAATTTTGTTATGATAATTATTAGGCTATATTTTCTAAATCAACTACAGATGAGGTTCCAAATTCTAAAATTAAACTATCGACCAAATAGAGAAGCGACTCTTTGCCAGCTATGTTGGCCGAGGATGAAAAAAATGGCCGCGAAGACGGGATACTGCATTTTGTAGCCCATGGGAAGAACATGTGAAGACATTATTTCTCTAAAAAAACAAATGGTAGACTGTTACTCATTGACTATATCAAATATGCCATTTATATTGTTTTACAACTCGGTTGCGGGAAACAATATTGTTTACAGCACAAGTGATGGTTTTCTTCAACGGATTCCAAAGTCCAATCAAATCTTTTAGCTCTAAAGAACCCCATCCAATAATAATTTACCCAAGGATATTGACGCAGACTAAGAGGCCAAAAAATTAACTCTAGAAACAAGAGGAAAAAGATAAAAAAAGACTCCCTTCAACCTTATGTTTAGGTGAACTATATGGAGTCTCGTAGATACATGTTTAAAATAATTGTTTGAATTCTGTAAAATTCAAAAAGTTGGTTACCAGATGTCACATCAAAGTTGAACTAATAAATATTTCTAGCTTGCACTAAGTTCAGTCATTACTCATTAGAGGGAAAATAATTGCAATTTATGCAATTGGGACAACTTTTTAGGGTAGAATGAACTAAAAAGTAGACAGCCTAGGATGGGACTGAGGGGTAAGAAATGCATTAAGCAGCATAACAACCCGTGTTATCAAAGGCGATAAGCGCAAAAAAGCTCTAAGGTCTGTTGGGGCTTTAAGCGCAAAGTGCAAATCAAGTGTGGGCTTTAATGAAGAAAGGCGCAAATGCAGAAAAACAATCCAGGATTGGAGGTATTGGGCAGGTAGGGGGGTCGAGATGGACAGATTGGGTTGAATTGGAGGCAATAGGAAGTAGTGGTGGGATCTTGGTTTACTGGGACAAGAGAATATGGAGTTGCCTAGACAATCACTTAGGGAAACACTCAATTACCGTGTTTGTAGTAGAAGAAAATACTGGTTTCAATGTGCCTTCACAGGTGTTTACGCACCATGTGATAGGAAAGAAAGAATAACTCTTTGGAAAGAGTTGGGTGCAGTCTCTGGGCTAATTTTACAGCCATGGGTAATTGGAGGTGATTTTTAATGTTATCAGATTTGAAGACGAAAAATTGGGTAGAGCTAGAAATACAAAAGCCATGAGAGAGTTTAATAAAACAATCCAGAATCCATCTTTATTGGATTTACCACTTCATGGGGATGAGTTCACATGGTATAGGAGTATTGATAATCAATGTGCTTCAAGACTTGACAGATTTCTAACTTCGGAAAGATGGGATTTGGTGTAAAAGAAGTATTACGGAAAATCTGGAACATTGTTTAAACTTTGTAGAGTTAGGTGATATGGATTTAGGGGATTTGGAATTAGTTGATATGTAGAAGTTCTTTTTTTGTAATCCAGCTGGATTGTACGCTTTTGTACCATCTTGGTACTTCTATTAATAAAATCTTACCTTATCAAAAAAAAAAAAAAGAAAAAACCTATAAATATGTATGTGTAGTCCAAGACTAATATCTATAAGCAAGAATACCAAATATATGGACAAAGAAATTGAAGAAAATTTACGATAAAGTGAAATATCAATTGTTTAGTGTTTGTCGCCTCTTCCGGATTAAGCCCATTAGCAAGGAAAAGTATGCCTTAGAGCCTTGATGACAACACCTGAAGCTCCCGCTAAGCGAGGCAAAGCGCTCAACATATTTTGAGCCTCGCTTCAGGATTTAAGCGCGCCTTTGATAACACTGATGACAACATCTCAATAACGGCGCATGTTGAGATTTTAGCTCAGCTATTTTATTTTTTTATTTTTCTTTTTTTTGGGGGGGG